CTCGAGAAAAACAGCTTTAAAGTTTTGAATTTACATATACATATGTACTTCCATAGTAAAAATCAATGCATATTTCGTTCTACCGGTAATCGATATAGCCGTGAAATTTTTACATAACATAGAATAAAAGGTAGCGATTATTTCTGCATACTTAAGACGATCTCTGTTTCTTTTTTATTATGACACTATTGAAGTAAATGAGCGATATGTACATAAATACGTATGTATGTATACGAAATTGAATGGTTTTTTTAATACGTACAATTGTATATTTGTAGGCAAATACAATATACAAATATACACACATACTATCTATGTACATATATACATCTATATTTGTACTAACATCTTCCTCCGGAATACTTTCCACACATTGGCTACTCCCTTCCACATATTCTGTACCAAGTAAGCTCAAAACTTTCTGATCTAAATCAGAAAGCGGAGCTGTTAACATTGGAGCATTTCCTGTTGCCGCCATTTGCTTCCTGCGCTCTCTTGCCTTGACGGAAGTCCGGCTTTTCAAATCGCGCCAAACCTAATACAAAAATTGCAATTATTGTGTTTTGCAGATATCATCTACTATGTGATCTACTATAACTTACTACTTGCCACTGAGCTGCAGATTTTTCGGCACCATTTGAGCTATTTAGCAACATCGCTAGCTCTTCCCATTTCCGGGAAGCTTCTTGCCGGCCATGAATCGCGGAGAACTTGCCTTCCGCGAGGCCCTTATTGCCAAGGAAAAAGTCCAGCATTTTGTGGTACTGCTCCGTAGTAGCTCTAGCGCTTCTGTTTTTTTTTCCCATAATATATTCACACACAACAGTCCCGACAATAATAATACGCGTAACAATAATCAAATTTTCTTTCAAATATTAAATGTCAAACGTCAATATTGCCATATTTATCTTTGCAATTAACGAAAATCGTCGTAAACTTCTTTACCGACATGCCTAACGAATTCTGTCGTTAAGTGTGTTTTTGAGAATAGCCTATTCGCTACTGCAAGCTACAAACGTCGTTCATTATCAATAACGAATATCGGTCGTTAGGAAAAATGGGAATCGCACTACAGGAGTGCAAGAAACGATGGAAGAGCCTCCGCGACTCCTATAAGCGCTGCAAAAGGATGGATCAACTCGCTTCCGGCAGTATTGCTGAAACACCAAGGAAAAAATGGAGATACTTCGAATCACTATCATTTTTGGAAAATGTATCGAATTCCAGGCGGTAAGTGATATTAAATAAGCACGCAGATATACTGCAGATCTAGGGTACGTTTTAATTATATGTACAACGATGTTGGGTTGCTGTGCCCAAACGTGTGACCCGAATCGACAAACTTTTATACATACTTCTAGACAAGTTTCTACACTTTATTTAAAAATAATAATTTACTATATCTCTGCACTAATTTATTAATAATTTTGGTTTGAATTATGGTCCTTTTTGCGAAATATGCCGAAGGTGTTCTCTACAAAAGTTGTTCTTCGGCAAAACAGAAAGGAGAATTCTACTTAGTGAGGGTTATATTTTTTTGTTGGAAAACTTTCATTTTCCTTTGCAAAAAACCCCAATCTCCCCTATTTTCAAACAGCTTCCAAGGGGCCCCACCCCAAAATCGTTGTACAAATGACTAAAAATTGCATCACATTTATTTTAAATTGTATTTTTCAGCACTATTGGAAGTATAAGCGCAGATGATACTCAATTTATAGAAGAAAGTGAAGTGGTTGAAATTGTTGATATCAATTCAGCAAACATTTCTCCACCTGCAATAGAAAGTCCTCAAAGTAAGGTTTTAAATCCACGAGAGCAAAAGGTATAAATGTATAATTCTTGTTCTTTTGACAATTTCCCTAATGCACTTCCTTCAATGCATCTTTTCAGAAAAAGGACAGTGATAAATTTCAAAAGTTTCTGGAAATGGCTGGCTCAAGCATCTCCGAAACCTGTGCGGCATTCGTGGGTCAAAGACAAATGCAGGACTCCACCGCACTTCATTTTGCAAGTTTGGCAGCGAAAATATCGGAAGATGGTCTTCCACCAAACACAGTTAACCAAATAGAGGCCAAAGTGTCGGTTTTAGTTTTCGGTGAAATTGAAAAGTACCTCTCAGCCAGTATGGAATCTACAGTAGAATAAGTGAATAAGACTTACGTATATATGCACGCGAAGTGCTTTATTTATTTTTAGTTATATATGCACACTTGCGGTCAGGTAATTAAGTTAAGTGACAGTCTAGTTTTGGCTATTTATCTTTTGTTTATTTAATGTTCGGACTGTTTCGGAAAATCATATATGAAACATGTGACGCTATTTGGGGTGAGTTACAGGTTGTCTATTTGTCACCTCCAAACGTAAGCGAACTTAAAGCCATTGCAAACAAGTTTTACGTAAAGACTGGCATGCCTAATTACTTAGGAGCTATAGATGGGAAGCACATCCGTATAGTCAGTCCAAGGAACAGCGGATCATTGTACTACAATTACAAAAAAACGTTTAGCATTGTACTAATGGCGGCTTGCGATGCTAATTATGTGTTTACATATGTAGATGTCGGAGCACTAGGCAGCCAAAGCGACGGTGGAGTACTTTCCCGCAGTGCCTTTGGAAGAAAATTGTTGAATGGCACTCTAGAAGTTCCTTGCGACACAAATTTGCCAGGTACATCGACTAACTTTCCGTATTATTACGTTGGCGACAGTGCGTTTCCACTGAAACAAAATTTAATGCGACCATTTCCCGGCCGTAACTTACCACAAGATAAAGACAAATTTAACATGATGTTGTCTAAAGCCCGAGTACACATAGAAAATGCTTTCGGAATTTTGGCCAACCGATGGAGAGTACTACATACAATAATACATGCTTGCCCAAAGAATGCAGACAAAATTGTTTTAGCTACCGTAGTTCTTCATAACTTTTTGATGTTACAAAATGACAGGAACTACTTTACCCTTGAACTTGCTGACCACTCAGTTGGAAACCAAGAAATTCACGGCCGTTGGAGAGAGGAAGTAAATGCTCTGGATTCATATCAAGCAAGATCTGTCAATCGCTCATACACAAATGCATTTCAGTTACGTGAATTATTAAAAGATTTTCTTTCAAGTAATGCTTTGTGAAATGCATTTCAATGTCGGACAAATTAATAGGGTCGCGACATTTTGACAAGTTTTGAGTATTTCTTTTTGTATGCTTAATGTTTATTAATTTTTATAAAAGTATACCTCATTATCTAACAAAGGCCATATAAATCTAATTTTAAAACTTTGTACAAAAATTAAAAAGTAATGAACAAATATTCTCCAAAACTTAACACTTTTTAACCAGAATTTTTAGAATAATGTTTAGTATGTAGTTTCGTGGGCCATTAAATTTTAAAGTAATAAAGTGCAAGTTTCAAGTTGTTTTGTGGTAAGTTACGGCCGGGAAATGGTCGCATTAAATTTTGTTTCAGTGGAAACGCACTGTCGCCAACGTAATAATACGGAAAGTTAGTCGATGTACCTGGCAAATTTGTGTCGCAAGGAACTTCTAGAGTGCCATTCAACAATTTTCTTCCAAAGGCACTGCGGGAAAGTACTCCACCGTCGCTTTGGCTGCCTAGTGCTCCGACATCTACATATGTAAACACATAATTAGCATCGCAAGCCGCCATTAGTACAATGCTAAACGTTTTTTTGTAATTGTAGTACAATGATCCGCTGTTCCTTGGACTGACTATACGGATGTGCTTCCCATCTATAGCTCCTAAGTAATTAGGCATGCCAGTCTTTACGTAAAACTTGTTTGCAATGGCTTTAAGTTCGCTTACGTTTGGAGGTGACAAATAGACAACCTGTAACTCACCCCAAATAGCGTCACATGTTTCATATATGATTTTCCGAACAGTTGAAATTCCAAGCTTGTAAGCCCAAGAAATCACATGGAAATTGCATCCTTGTGCTAAGAAACTGAAATTGTTACCTGGTTAAGTATAAAAATGTAATAATTATTTCAAATTTGCTTACATACATAAGTGTTACCGCCAAACGCGTCTCAGGATCAACTGCCTTCCTATTAGAAAATCGCTCCATTCTTTCTTTTAGCAGTGACAACAATAAATTGAAGCTAGAAACGTTTATCCGAGTTGCTTTAAAAAAATGCTCCTCATCCTTTTCTTTAAGCTGTTGAATACATGTTTTAAAAAATCCTTCTTCCTCGCGTGTAATGTTAACCGGATGGACCCACCATCTTCGGTTGCTTCCATGGAGCTCGTTATACGCTTCATGAGCTAAGTTGGTAATACGCGCAATTTTAGCAATCGTTGTCGCAAAATTAATCACATATTCTTGATTGTTCATGTTTTTCTTATTTACTTAAATAAAACTACACAATTTGTGAAATAAATATACCAAAATGTCAAACTTTAAAATCAGCTGTTTGCTATGTCGCTGAGGTCTTCAAAATGTTTAAGAAGCTGGCTTCAAGGCGACATTTGTCGACAAAATGATGTCGCTGTCGTTACGTCGTGAAGTTGCAGTCGTCAAAGTGTTCCGAGCTCTACTCGCAGCTTCCCCTTTTCAATAAAAGGCCGGCCTGGCAGTTCGTCGATTTCCACCACGGCCATTCTTTGTTCTTGCGAGTTTACAGCGAGGAGAGAGACGCGAAGTTGACCCTTCATCTTGTCTCCTAATTCCCCGCGTATAGTCTTCTCCACTTCTGGGGCCGTGGTTAGGCAGTCCATGCCCAGAACTTCTAGACGTAAATGTCTAGTGAAAATACGGGCATCTCCAAGCTGGCCAATGGCAGTGCACACATTTTCCTTAAATGCTGAGTGGTCGCCACAACGCTCCATTTCGATAAGCACGCCACCTTCGTGGGTTTTCCGAACAGATCGAATTACGGTCTCCGTCTTCTCAGGTTGGAGCTTACCGCGTATCGTTCCCAGCACCTCTGCATAGATTTTACCCTCAGCTGGCTTACCAATTAGTTTGGCGAGACTCTTATTTTCTCTCACCCTCTTTTTTTTGCGGCTAGTCGCCCCGCCCATACTGACCAAAGGTTCACCTGGCTCTGGCCCTAGCTTGGGCTTTCTGCCTTTTCCAATCGTTTTCCATTGATTATCTGGTACGGTTTTCTGTGCATTATTATCGTTATTACCATTATTTTTATTACCACTATTAATAATAATGTTATTACTACTATTATTATTATAGTTAGTATTTTTTTCTTTTCCGGCTCGCCTGTAGGGGAGTCGGATCGAGTTCGACCTCTCTTTTGCGGCTCTGCTCTCGGAGGTGGCTTAGTATATTTAAGCTCTCCTCGATTTGGGCCATACCCGCTGCATTCTTCCTCGAGAACATCTACATCTATTACATTTGTATTTGTTGTTTGTTTAATCATTTCAGTGTGTTGGGCTACCCACTAAAACCCAAACTCCCACCGCCCGCGCAGGAATCCCGCATCTGGCACCGCAATTCTGCATGTCTTCAGATGCAGGAGCGCGCTGCTAGAGCCTTGGGGCTGCTCTTTTGTAGGGGAGTTTCATTCGGGTGTCCTCAGTAGACAACCGCCCTCTCGTTTGCAGCGGAGTATGAATTTCACGTATTTCGCAACTGCTTCCCACTTTTCTGCACTGGAGATTATTACCCCAATTATGTTGTTCGGAGTTATGTCTCCGTATCTTTCTACCAAAATTCTGCGCGAAAATAGAAGTGTTCGCAGGTGAAGAATGTATGGTAATGGTGAGTCCACCCTTCCCATTCTATGAAGATATTCTCGGAAGTAACCATGACGGGTGAGGAATTTTGAGTATTTTGATTTTTTGACCCTTTTCCAAAATTATGTGCGACTTTTGCCCCTTTTCAGAGATTTTGTTTTAGGGCCATGCTATTAAAATATATTTCCTCCTGAAAGTAGGAAAAGATGCACTACGAAAATACTTTATAATACATGTAAATTTGACTTTGACTAGGGATCTCACATTTTTTTTTANTTGAGTATTTTGATTTTTTGACCCTTTTCCAAAATTATGTGCGACTTTTGCCCCTTTTCAGAGATTTTGTTTTAGGGCCATGCTATTAAAATATATTTCCTCCTGAAAGTAGGAAAAGATGCACTACGAAAATACTTTATAATACATGTAAATTTGACTTTGACTAGGGATCTCACATTTTTTTTTAATTGCGAAGAAAAGTAAACATAATATGGTGACCCTTTTTTCGTCAATTACCCCTTTTTTGCGACTTTCTGCATAGTGGGATCTGGGCTGCTAGACTTTATGACTGAGATTTCCTATAATGGACCATTTCCTATATCACCCAAAGTATTACGAATTTTTTTATGAAATTCGCAGGGGGTGTTGAGGAGGTGCTCATTGACGGATATCATCAACATTTTGTGTACAAATGCTAATAGTTTTTAAGTTATTCGTTGTTAAAATTTCCCCACTGCTTCACAGTTATTTTTTTATAAATACTGCACTAATAACTTTTCTTTTTATTAATACACCATCTGTTCTTCATAAACAAATGGATGCACATCTTTTTATTACTAAAAACTTGACCATTAGTGCTTATAAAAGTGTTCTTAAAATATTTTTCTATTCTCAAAGAATAGTAAACACACTGTTGTTCAGCGATGGCCGCCATGAATGAGGTGCCACATCGTTGAAAATGTTAATAGTTCTTTTTAGCCAAAAATACTTTCTGATGCATTACGGGATTGAAGGCTAAAAGGAAAATATTAATTTCACGGTCTTAGTTATGCACATATATTTAAGAGTTTCTTTTAAATCGGTGATATATATATTAATATTATGGTAAAAATATATTTTAATGTATATAGGGCATTTTGAAATATTTAATCGGGCGATTTAAACGAATACAAAACGTAGATGGCGGCGCCGTTTAAACGCAGTCGTAACATTATATTTCACCGTAAATTTTATTCAAGTGGCAACCAATAACGACGCTCATTCTATTTAACTTGCCGTTGNCGTTTAAACGCAGTCGTAACATTATATTTCACCGTAAATTTTATTCAAGTGGCAACCAATAACGACGCTCATTCTATTTAACTTGCCGTTGTTTTCCATTTCCACAAAAACGGCATAGCTATCTTTCGTTTATTTAATTTATTTTGTAAACTAAATATATTTGTTTAAAAATGAGTGATACGGATTACGGTAAGTTCTATTATATTTATCTTAATTTACAAGCATTACAGATTATATTTATAGATTCAGATGTACCATCAACAAGCACTGGTGCAGCAAGAGGCAACAAATTACCCGCGCTGCAAATTAAAAATATTTGGGCCAGCTATAAGGTTCGCGACAAGTTGGGTACGGTTGAGCAGTGCATCGCATTTTCCGAGCAAAACGGCTTGATGCTGCGGACGAAACTATGTAGAACCCACAGAACCCCTATGGCGATATATGGCATGGGGAACGCCGATTTAGGCAGCTTTCGTTGCCGGAAGGGGCCATGCCGAACCAAGTCGAGCGTATCGAGAGCCGAGGGAACTTGGTTCGAGAACGCCAAAATATCACTGCCCCATATATTTTATATGATGTATTGCTATTCGGGGCACTATACGCAATTCTAAGTTAAACTTGAAAACTATGTCGAGGGCCCCTGCTTGTCAAGCAGGACAATAACCGACTGGTATAGCTACTGTCGGAAGGCAGTGGTTTATTACCAACTCGAAAAGGAGGAGCATGGCGCAAAAATTGGAGGGCCCGGGAAAATAGTTCAAATTGACGAAAGTAAATTTGGAAAGAGAAAGTTCAACAAAGGTAATTTGAATTTGACTTTTATCTATTAAACAGGATACTCATTTTATTTTTTCTTACCTTTTAGGGAGGAGGGTCGAGGGTCACTGGGTTCTCGGAATGATAGAGGACTGGAGCGAAGACATCAGGCTCGAAGAGTGTCCGGATAATGTGCGATCGACGGAGGTGCTCATACCCCTAATCCATAAGCACGTTGCTGAAGGCACTACCATTCGCACGGACTTCTGGAAGGCATACGATTGCTTACCGAGTTATGGGTATGAGCACCAAAAGGTGAATCACAGCGACCCAGACAACCCTTTTGTGGCGCTAGATGGGACTCATACCCAGCGTATCGAGTCACAGTGGCGAGTGGTAAAGCGGGTTTTACAAAAAGATAACTACAACAACCCGGCCAATTTCGCAGACATTATCGTAGAATTTTTGTGGAGAAAGTCCATTGAAAATAATCGGCAAGATCCCTTCGAGAAACTCATCGAAGCGGTTAAACACACACTTTAAAGCCATGAAATTTCGTGGGCTTTCCTTCGCGTTTAAGTGCCTTTTAGTTTTAGTTGTTTGGCAATGCGCATTTTAGCATTGATTTTTTACGTAACGTTACTTAAAACCAAAATATGTTATGAATAAAAACACCTTGGACAATTGAAAACCTTCGTTTAAATAGTAATTACAGCGCTTTTTTCTAAAAAATGCAATACTTCCATATATCTTACGCGCGATTTTTTATTACAAATTTTCGCCTGTGGCGCTTTTTTTATTACAAGCTTTTATTTAACTTCACTTGTATGTATGTATGT